AGCTTGCTTGTTAATAAACTTAAAACTTTAACTAAGTTGTTCTTAAATATGAAACGTTCATTCGCGAATATATTAGTTTAGCTCGACTATTTCATTTAAATTCATAATAACAAAATTAAAATAAAATATATTAAAAATTAATTATTCAAAAACAAGATTGTCTCATTTAAAAGTTCTACATATATAACAACGTGAAAAAGGAGATTTCAAATTTAAATTATTTCATAAGTTCAATTATTATTTGAAAACCCCCCATCTCAAAAGTCACCTCTATCCCCCAATTTCATATTTCTAAATAACTTCAAGATATACATATAAAATTCTATATCAATCGGTCCATTATCCTTATAAAAGGTAAGATTTACCGAGTAGCCTGTAAATGAAGTGAGATCCCTTGTTTCAGTATAGTTTTTCGTTTGGTATTTCATTTTATTTGATGCACTACATGTGTATACAATAACCTCAAACTTATATATGTACATTATTCATTAATGATCCACAATAAAATTAGAAATAAAACATGAAAATTGAACCAAAGATTTGACCCCGGTAAACTCCATATATACCCATGTTAAATGATTGAGATTTCCGATTTTATGTTCTAAGTCTTATATTTTATTCTGTGTTTTATTCAATTGAATTTATGACACTTGTCTGTAATACTTAGGTTATGTTTGGTAAATCTACCTATAAACTAATCAGTAATTTTTGGCTTCATCTATAACTTTATCCATTGACACGTGTCCAATGTGTATTTATTGCATGAACACGTGTCAATACATCATTTGTTGATAGCAATGGATGGCTCCATAAGTCGAACTATCCGATGCCTCCATAGCAAAATCGATAAACTAACTTATAGCTTTTAAGTGAATTTCGTTCTTATAACTGAAAGTTAATGACATGGTTGAAATGTTAACTTATATGATGAAAGTGTTTGGTAAAAATTAAATGATAAACTAACTAAAATAAAAATTTCAATAAACTTATTTGAAAAGTTAATCAATGAAAATTATAAAATATGCTCGAAGATTTCAATGAGTGCATTTGAATACATGAAACTTACAAGCTAATTAAATAAATTATAAAATAAATTAAGTAAAACTAATCAAATAAATTAGAGAAATGCTATAGGTACATAATATTATGCATAGGGGTGTACATAAAACTCACATTGAGTGGGATCCACCAAAAATAAAAAATCAAGTGGACCCTACTCTATGTGAGTGTTATGTACACTTTTACATACATTTGTTATGTACTTGTAGGATTTTTCAATCTATAAAAAATGGCAATTCAATTTTTGGTCAAATCCTGTCTGCATTAAATGTTTACCATTAATGGCAACATTGTCTTTCTTTTCCTAGACAGCATTAATTGGTCAAACCGAATTATTTAATTTATCTGTTTAAATGCAATCCATATGAGTTGTTATATTGTCCGGCCACAAAACTTGGGTTTATCCCGTTAATTGTTTTGGTAAAAATTTGAAATGAACGAGCAGATATTTTGTTTTGGATAGTTTAAATATGTAAATATTTTTTTCAATCACATATTCAGATTTGGAATAACCATTTTTTTTTTTTTTTNATTGTTTGAATTTTTAAAAAGTCCTTATTTTTTTTACATTTTCCCTTAAGAATCGGTTCTTGGTATACCAGCCATCGGATTTTTGGGTTTTGCGTTTTTAAATTCAGCTGGCCGATGAAAAAACTTTTTGAAAGCCAAATTAACAAAACACATGAAAAACATTTAAATACCTTGAAGAAAATTCGCGAAATTGGCCGATGTATAATATTGTTTTTTCATTTTTCGAAATCAGACTGTCGATTCACACTATCTGTGAACAACGAGTCTGATTCGAGTATCTCTGGGTACGATAAAGGCAAAACTCATATGAATAATAAAGTAATTTGTAGAGGGCGAGAGAAATTTTACTGTTGTTTTCCAGAAAAATGTAGAGGGGGCGAGAGAAAATGAGCATATAAAAATTGTGAAATCCTACAAAGTCGGAAATATCAATATATTTATACAAGGCCAAACTTAGCATCCGTCCATTGATATACAGGTTGACCATTTTAGACCGTTGGATCAACCAAGATCTAGAAAGCAAGCCTACAATTTTTTTCATAAATGGGCCGATAATTGGGCATAAACTTAAAAAATACAGTCTTTTGATTTGATTATTAATATTGGGCCCAGCATAAAAAATAAAAGGCCCAGAATAAATGGAAACAACATTTTATATTGGGTTTAATATTATCACCAATCATTATCGGATCAATCAAATTAGGCTTCAAAATTTTGTGATTTAAATTTATATAAATTTGCATAGATTTTCTCTAATTTTATATTTTCAGAAAAATATAATATTTCATCAATCTATAGTTATGCGTGATGCTCGGTATAAACGTCAAAATACCCGTGATATGGTGCAGACTTCACAAAGGAAACCATTATCTCGTATCACAAATGGTAAAAAAATTCCCATTTGATTTACACAATCAATTTTGGTTATTACTTATTTTACACAATCAATTTTGTTAAAAACTAAATTAATTATTTTTTATTTTTTTGTACTTATTTTATTGTTTTTTTGAAACTATCGAGTCATCTATGTCGGCGAAAAATATTTATTCTAGCATTTGGAGTAAGAGTTTTTAATTTTTAATGTCATCTATAAGTACTATATATAAATAACAATTTTAATTCTTGGCATCAGCCTTATTAGGTGTAGATTTACTTGCCATCCCAACAGGATCAGTTATAACTATTTTATTTTTCGTTTCATTTCAACTTGCAGACACTATACAATCATCCTATGCCCCGAAATCAAATTTAACTGCTGAACGGAACACCAGTTTTTTTGCAAAAACGAGTCTTGATTCCTAGGATGAATATCACTCCATCTGATACTAGGATTTTATTTAAGTTCCAGCGGCGGCAGTTCCCACTTAGGGTTTCGTATGTCATGACCATAAACAAGTGCCAGAGAGTCTTTATCGCACGTTGGTCTTTTCCTTAAGAAACCTGTTTTTAGTCACGGACAATTATATGTGGCTATTTCACGTGTAATAATAGAAGAGGGTTGAAGATATTAGTTTGTGATAATGAGGAGTTATCAAATAATCAAACTCATAATGTTGTGTACAATGATGTTTTTAATAATATATGATTGTTTCGTCACGAACATTTTATGATTCAATAATGTTTCTATGTATTATAATGATTTCGATCCTAATGCATGTCAAATTAGAGCTCATTTGTTAAAGTAGATGAGATTAGATAACAATTATCTTGGGCTTCAAGATTGTCCTGTAGAGATGAGAGTGAAACATTTGTTTGTTGGGCATTATTGCAAAACATGAGATTATTGAAATATATTGTGGTGTCCATTTGTTACATAGGATTAATGATAAGATTAATGTTTCATTTACTTAATTACCTTCCAGTGACTTTTGTTTATTTATGCATGTTTGCATGCAAGTATTGGTGTTATGTGACAATTTCAGGACGAAATGAACAGTACACTACCATCCTATATATATACATTTATATATATATATAATATATATATATATATTAACAACAGTATTTTTTTTTTATGGCTAATTGATTTGTGCATTTCGGGTACCTTCCAAGTTGCCTACATGCTCTAATAAGTAACACAAACGGCCAAATGCATTTCGATCCATGCGAAGTTGTTCGACACAAGTTTTTCGTGTGGTCTACTACTTGCCTTGGCAATCTATTTTACATACTAAATGAAGCCGGTGAATCGTCATTGCCTCTCCTTTGCGATTGATTCATTTGGCCCAAAAGTTGATAGCAAACGAAATCGAGTAAGAACATATGATTGAACATATTAATTATTTCCTCAATCACCAATATAACTTCAATGTCCATGTACTTTACCAAAACCAATCTAACACAAAGCATTCGTTACACGAGTTAATTAAATTGGATCCTGTTTTTTT